GTCCGCTGCCGTTCCTGGAGAGGGGGGAAAGAAAGGGAAAAGGGCAAGGGACAGGAGCTCACAACTGATGCAGCATGCAATCATCCCTCCTCACATGTTGGAGGTAGGGGTCTAAAGGAACAAAAAAGGGGGCCACAGCACTCGGGATCTCCCAATAGCCCCCATCCCCCTTGGTGCACTCATCTCTCAGGCGGATCTCCTCGAACAAACTGGACGCAAGAAGATGACAGAGACGAGGGGGATACGTTTTGTCATTGCTCGTGCACCTCCGCCCATCCTCCTCAGTCCACTGTACTATCTCATGCTGATGACTCTGATCACAGAGTCCGCCATTCTCGCATGCAGAGACGAGGCGGCTTAAAGAAGCGCAATGCACAGCCAGCAAGGAAGTCCGTTTCTTCTGCATACCTCCGAACATACATTGATGGATGTGAGTGAAATTAACGTGGGGCTTATTCATAAGACGTTGCAACTGATCCAGGAGCCAGGACGAGGGAGCCTGGGGGTGGTTGACACTAGTGCTAGGATGCTCCATAATCGTGGGAACTTGGGCATGATACGCAGCGTGCAAAAAGAGGATGGTAGCTCTGAGCAAGGCATTGCCAACCCTAACCTGATCCATTTCTCTCTCGCGAAGACCCTTAATCCCCCACAGGAATTCCCGAGATCTAACCGGCCGTGGCTGACGAGGGCGACCCTGGGAAGAAGAAAACCTCGCACAAGTCCACGTTTCCGAAGGGGGCCCAGCAAGCACAGCCGAAACTTTTCCCTCCTGCAACATCTGCAACCATAATCTCACCGCCTCCATTTTGCTCAAATCCCCGAGCATGGTGTCACACGCCACATCAAGAGACAGCATGGCAACACGAAGGTTGGCACCATGCAGGAGCCTGTCAAGAAACGCTTGAACATCCTCCTTCCTCGAGCCCGAGAAGAGATGAAGCACGAACTTGATGGGCGCTCCCGCAGGCGGAGCAGTCGGGCGGGGAGCAAGACTGGGGACGGGTTCGAGAACTATCGGATCTTGAGCAACCAAAGGTTGCACCTCCCCTTCAGTGGGTAACGCAATGGGGGGGCCCAGAACACGGAAAGCGGGGATCTCAGCAAAGTTCTCAGGCAGGTGCCTGGCTCGATTCTGCTTCTGAATGGCGGCATCAAGACTTCTCCAAAACTGCACCTCCTCCTCGGGGGGCCTTCTACCAGAGTGCTGCCAGGCATTCCTACACTTAAGGGTTCTAGCCAAATGCTTGACGAGACGGCCAGGGGTGTGATACTCATGCGCACACACCTGACAGACAGTGCCCACAGCCCACGACAATATACTACTCTCCCTCTTATGCTCCTTGCCAACATGCATAGCCAGCACTCTCTTCGAACTGGTATGTAATCCACATTCGTAGCAGAAGAACACTCCCTGCACAGGTCGAATGCGATTAAGGCTGTCCTCCAAGTCGGTTCCCGCATTCAACTCTCCTAACTGAGCGTCAAGCTGCCTGTTCAGATACTTCTCATTATGATGAAATCTGGCCCTATGAGCAACGGAAACAATGGTGGATCGAAACTGTTTGGGCTTCCCACGGGCCAAACAAATCCAGCCCCCCAGGGAACCGCAGCCAGGAACCTCCACTTTCAAGGCAAACTCATTGAGCCATTCGCAGTCCCTCCGAACAAGAGCGGTGAACAAGATGAAGAACATGTTCGTCCCTGAATCTGTCGTCTCTGTTGTTGCTCAGAGGCAACCCGAGACACGCTTTATAAACTTTGACGTGCTGGGCCTCAATCCTTTCCCTCAGTTTTCCAGCCATGGGACCCCAGGTGGACGCGTTGAAAAGCAACTTGGAGGCCAACAGCGCCTCGCCAACCTGCCTGACAAATAACGGGGGGAGAAACCTGTTGCGAGCCAACCGAGCAACGCTTCTAAATTCTCCCGCAACGGTGGAAACCCTGTGTGCAATCACTGCACACATGGCACCAGAATCCATGATCATGCTTCCCAAACGCTTGTGAGCACGCACGACAGGGGCCTTCACTGCATCATTATAGCCTCTCACAGTCATGTGATGCTCAACGTGCATGTCGATTCGGGCCCTCCTGGACCCTTCCCCAACAAAGCGAAGGATGAAACCAGTTTTGTCAGCATTAACCTCAAATCCGTAGGCCGCCGCATCCTCGTGGAGAATGCAAAGCATGCGAGCCGCCTTCTCCCTAAGCTCTTCAGAGTTGCCACTTTTTCCAACAACGGAGAGATCATCCACACACGAGACGGAGGCATGCGTTCGCTCCCAATCCTCTCGACATGAGAAAAGCGGTTCAACATCCTGCGGCAAAACAGGGTCGCTCCACACAAGCCCCTCCATTCTCGCTCTCCCTTCTATTGACTTGACCAGGGGGGCAAACGCGATGTTAAAGAAATCGGTAGCCCCGATTCGTCCAGGGCCAGTGCCTCTCACAGATTTGACAAAGCCTTCAGCCCCAGGCAACGACCACCATCCTCCTTGCTGCGTCTCTCGGAGGAGCTGCACCAGGTGCTGATCATCGACGTACCGTTCCAGGATGGGCTGATGCTGGAGGTGAGCAAGAACCGATGAGAGGACAGCGGGAGGAAGCTGCGCCTGACCGAGAGCGTCCATGAGGTCATCATGGTCGTGGGGGAGGGAAACAACCAACTGTTTGATGACCTTATAGAAGGCCGCAACAAGGTCCACCAGTAACACGAACGACGACTTCTTGGCCACGGATTGGGCCTCGACCGTAGTGCGCACCATGTGACTCGCAAAATCCGTGGATCTTCCTGGACGCCCCCCCACACTGAGAGCTGATCATACACTTGTACATGTGCTGCCACGCCCGTTGGCGCACAAAGCCATGATGCACCTTGCACAGGACGTTGGACAGGTGGACACTACGTTGATTCTTAGCAAGTCTACTGTCCCCCTTACCCTTGTAGAACGCCGCAATGAATCCACATGTCCAGTCAGTCGGCTCTCGCATGACAACACTAGCCTTGACCATGACAGGGTGGAAAATTCGACTCATCTCCTCAGGAGCAGCCCAAAACACTTCCCCCCTCAGGCCATCAGGCCCAGGAGCCTTGCCCTTGGCGAGTTTCCGAAAACACATAGTGAGTTCGGCCTAGGAAATCATGTTCTCAACTCTCCTTTCCACCTCATGCATCACCCCAGGCCCCTGAGAGTCATACTCCCTCTGAAGCGTGTCAAGCTTCACATGTCTACCAGCCTCGTGAGTGGCGAAATATCTTTGCAGGTCATTACGGTCCTCCGCAGACGTGTCCAGCACGTTTCCCTCTGCGTCCAGCCGCATAGGCGACACCATAGGTTTTCTCTTCTTTTGGCCAGGGCAACGCAACACAACCTTGACCTCTCTCCAGGCGTTGGCATGAACCTTGGCGTCAAGCGAGAGAGCTACTTGACCTGCTTTCCTCTGAAGGAACTCGGCATATTCTCGATGCAACATCTCGTGGAGGATGGGAGTGGAAGAGGAGATGAAAGAGACGAGGTGCAGCAACCATTCATGGGCCTCTATCTGCTTCCATGAGAAAAGAGTGGCGGCAGCGGCACGCTCAAGAAATTTGGTGACCCATTCTCCATGGCACCCCTCAACAACGTTCCTTCTGAGGTCACCTTTTGTAACCCTCTGAGCAAGCGCGAACGCAGCAGAAATCCACTTCTCCATTCCAACCTGGGGCCCTCGGACCTTAAAACCAACATCGCCCCCTGGGGTCTCATCCTCATACTTGGGGACATCCGCGTCTCCCGACATCCTACTGTTTTTCATGAGACGAGTGCCTTTACTGATCGCGAGAACTTTCATTATGACACGCCGCACCTGAACCAAAGCTTTGGTGTTGTCGGAGATGTAGGGCTTTCTAGCCCTTTTTTGTCGCAGCAAAGGCCTCCTTGGCACAGTCCCAGACTTTGTCATTGACTCTCTTAATGTGCTCATTGAGCTCACACTCCCAGGGGATCAACGAAGCCGAAGCAAGCATGGACCTGAACTTGTCACAACACTTTTTGTCCTGGAACTTGGCCCTGTCCAACCTAGGGTGAGCATTATTGGGGCTATGTCCTCCCTTCCCTTTCCACGCAACTCTGGCCGAGATGAGACCATGATCTTCGTGCTCCCTCGCATGCTCAAGGTCAACCATGACCCTGACATCATAAGCAGCAGGGAGCAGAGAAGGGGACAGGAGCAGGTAATCAATATGGTGAGTGCCTCCTGAGCGACTGGTCCACGTGTCCGCCCACTGGTCAACATGCAGAGTGTTGACAGCATGGAGACTGGCTTCGCTGAGCCATCGGTGACACTCTCTCCCATTCCCATCTTCCTCCTGAACCCCCGCCGCGTCTCCGATCCATGGGGACACAATGAACCCCGTTCGAGCGTTAGCATCAATGAATCCAATCGGGACATCGTATTTCTCAGAGATCTCTCCTATTTTGGACCAGAAGGCTTCTTTTTCAGCAGGCTTCTCTTTGGAATGAGGAGCGTGGCCCACCAGAATGTTGCGCCGAAAGTGGGGGGCGGGGGCAGCGACGACAACCAGAATGAGTCTGGGGTCCTGGTACGCAATCCTGACATGATCCCTGCGGAACCTAAAGGTACTCTCCCCCTGCTTGGCGTAGGGTTCCTGCAGGTTGAACCAGATTTCACACCCAAGGTTAAACTCGCAGTGCCCACTAGACACGGCCAAAAACATGTTATCCCCAACCACTCGCATACCCTTCTCGTTGCGGGCTTCCTGAACGCCAAGAATGGTAAAGCGTTCATCTCCAAACTGTTGCTTGAGAAGCTCCAGCCTGTTGAGACGGATCGCTCCCTGTGTACCTTTCCGAAATTCTTCTCTAACGCTCTGCGCGTTAAATCGAGCAAGCCTGAGACGCACCTCGACCTCCTCCTCCTCCTCACATGCGGACTGGGAAGGGGGCTTGTCCTCACCATCAAAGAGAGACGCTTTTGGCAACACAGCCTGCGTGAACATGGACCCTCTATCGATCTTGGGGTACGCATGCAAGTCCCCCTCGGCCCCCAGGAGCCACTCCCACCTGGTGGAGGTCCTGGAGCGGACCCGTTCGACAAGAACGGGGGGCAAGGCATTGGGGGGGATCAGGGACAACGTCATTCCCTTGGCGATGTTATCCGCAAGAGCGTTCCACGGATGCAAACAGTGGCTTTTAACGTGTCCACCCTTGAAACAAAAACGCTGTCCCACAAGCTCCCAAAGGGCGGCAGCCAGGGTGCAAAGCTCCTTATCCCTCCTCGGACTGGTTCGCTGTCTGGCGGCATCCAGGGCCCCGAGCGAGTCGGACTCAAGTGAGATGACTATGTGCCTGGGCAAGGAGAGGACCCGCATCGCAGCCCAAATAATTCCTTGAAGCTCAAGCGTGGTGCTGGTGGCTTCTTCCACCGTACGCCCCATCGAGTTAGAGAGAGCATGCGGGTGACGCAGCGAACCGAGGTACGCACTCCCTTTCTCATCAGAGCCGACTACGCAAAAGGCCCACGCGGCCAACCCCCTCTTGGCAAAGAGAGAACCATCAGTGAAACTGTGGACCGCCTGGAGCATCTCCCAATCAACAACTCTCGCAGGGCAGTTGTCCAACGCATACTGAGCTGGGGCTTCCAACAGGGGTGGGAGGGCACAATCGAGCTCCATGGCTGGCGTATCCTCTATGATTGTAATGAGTGGGTCATCGTCCCACACCCTCACACAGATCTGCACCCCCCCGCGATCCAGCCTAGAGGTATCACCCCCTCGAGACTCGCTAGACCTGCGATCCGAGAGGCCTGGGACAGGAGGCTGTGGCCCGAAAACTATGCTGCAACCCCTACTTGAATTAACCATGTTGTTATGTACACTACTTTGCACATGTTGCTGTTGCAGATCAGTAACATCTAGCTTGAATTCATGCTCAGATTCCAAAACTGTGCCGGGGTCATATTCCCTAACCTCAGGCTTACAACTAAAACGGACTTTCTTGCTCAACTTACTGACTGACGGTTGCCTCGCCTTGCTGCTCGGCACCGACGCTGAACGAGAGCCACTGAGGAATGAGGATGCCTCAGCAATCTTAGCCGATGTCCCTTTTCTCCACCAACACCGTGGGGAAGGAGAGGGAGTGGGGCTCAGGGCCGAGGAAGGGGGGAAACCACCGGCGCTGCTCTGCCCAACCCTGGCATCGCGGCAGAGAGAGGTGCGACGACCGCCACAGCGGCCGAGCCCGGGGGAAAATTGGCTGGGGGGGCCCTTCCCTGAGCACTCGAAATCCTTGCTCTGAAAGTTACTAAACGAATGTGCCGTGGCGTTCCATCCCCTCGTATTTTCGACACGCGAGGAAGGAAACTTGAAACCATTCAGGACACCCCTGGACAGAACTTTCGAACTGAACTCGTCCTGGGCCACAGCAACTGGAGCAACAAAAGCCTGAAACGCGGGACAGCTTCCCAGAATATTATTCTTAATTAAGCGGGCCTCCCCCCAGCCCGCGCCAGGAACCCTCACGTCTACAGGTTTCCCTCCATCTCGCTCTCCACACACTGGTACTTGTGGGCCCTGATGTCGGGGGTGGTAGCATCCTCCGCACGAGGACGCATACGCTCTGACGCCTCCTGAGCGATCGCCGTGTTCGCAGGTGACGTCGGCGACAGAGGAGAGTCCGCCACGGTAGCCGAACCAGCCATCGCCGCCGTACCTCCAGTCGCCGCCCCTCCTGCCGCCGAGGTCCCTGCCCCCAAAGCAGTCGATGCCGCCAATGCACCATCCGCCGCCGCTGGGCCCGAGGCGCTGTGGGCTGCCACAGCTGTCGACTCCTGAGCCACCTCGGCCGCTCGCAACTTCTGCATGTATTCGTAGCCCTGGGTGCTGAGCAGGAAATCCAACTGATCCCTCGTCTGCTGAGTATTCTGGAACTTCTGGTGCTGCTGCGTGGCGTCCATCGGCACGGTGGGGGAAATCGGGTACGGGTCCGACCCGTGAGCGGTCGTGCCCTTGTCCTTGCCCCCCCCCTTGGCCGTCGCCGAGTACAGTGGAGCAGGCGCTGGCGGCTCTGGTGTCGCCGTTGAGCCCGGCAACGGCGGGTGAAATGGACCAACTGGATCTGGCGGATGTCCTGGCATTCCAGACGGTATTGGAAACCCCACAGCACCATACATCTGCGGGGCCTGAATCCCAGCTCCAGTAGTACACGCTGCCATGCCCTGCATACGTTGACACATCTGGGCCATGAGCCCCTCGAATGCCTGCTGTTGTTGCAACATCATCATCTGCTGCTGAGCCTGAAACTGCTGCATCATCTGCTGGTGCATAGCAACATTGGAGCCAACTGAAGAGGAGGAAGGGCCACCAGCACTGCCAGACGGATGGTCCTGCATGTAGGGATTTGCCTCTGCTTCTTCGGCCCAATCCTCCTCCGCCTGCTGCTGCTCTGCCTCGAGCTGTTCTACACATGACTCCAACTGCATGACCGCCTCCTTCGCATTGTTCTCCTGTACATACAACTGTTTCAACCGACCACGAATCTCGTCGAGCCGCTCTTTGGCCTGATCTCTTTTCAGACGGGTTTCCTTTAAACGCTTGTGAGCAGGCTGAAGCAACATAAGAGAGAACTTGACAACTGCCATATCGTAGATCGCGTCCTCGTCGTCTTTGCCCAGCTGTCTCGCCGCGATTGCCAACTGAGCCAGATTGTACAACCTTTTTCGAGCCTCCTGCCGATAATTGTCGTGCGTGGCGGCATCCCCGAGCGGTGGCGCAAAATGAGGATGAGCTTTGGCCTGGGCTGGAGTGGCTGGCGGCGTGCTCGCAATCAACTTCTTGATGTCTCCATCGATTCCTCCTCGACTGCGATCCCTGGACGATGCTGCACCTCGAGAGTTCTCTCTTCTCCACGGGGCAACCTGACTGGATTCCCTTGCTTGCCCTTGCCACTTGAGCCCACAACCACTGCACCATTTGTAATGAAAGGGATTCTTTTGGCTGCAAGAACATTTCCACGAACGTCCAGCGATGCCTGGCATGGAACTATGATGCAGTGCCAGTCTTTCCTCTGCTCTCTCTTTGGCGGCGTTCAGTCTTAGCAACAATCGATCCTGCGCTCGCTTCGACCTGGCCCTCCTGTGCCAAGCAGGCTCCCTGGGTGAATGGCAGCGCCTGGAGGGGAGCGTGATTACTGAGAAAGAGTATGTCAAGCGCGGCGCACTGAACGTGCACACGCCTGGGGTTCAGCCGCTGGCCAGTACAATACCTGGTGTACTTTCAGCGGCCAAAACGCCTCCCTCCTCCTCTTCCTCCTCCTCCTCCTCCTCCTCCTCCTCCTCCTCGTCCTCCTCCTCCTCCTCCTCCTCGTCCTCCGCCTCCTCCTCCTCCTCCTACTCCTCCTCCGCCTTCTCCTCCTCCTCCTCCTTCCTCCTCGTTCTCCTCCTCCTGTTTGTGTAGGTGTACGGTTGGTGCCCACCTTCGGCTTGATCTGGTCGCGCCCAGCGGAAGCCAGACGAGCCAGCCGCGCCAGAGGAGCTCACCGCGCAGCTGCGGGCCGCGAGCGCGGTGCCCTCGCTCGCCGACTCGCTGCTGGTCCTGACGCGCACCGCGGCCCCGGTCGACCTGGGGGGTCGGGGGTGCAGTTCTTCTCCCTCCTCCTCCTCCTCCTTCTCGTCCTCCTCTCCTCCTCCTCCTCCTCCTCCTCCTCCTCCTCCTCCTCTCCTCCTCCTCCTCCTCCTCCTCCTCCTCCTCCTCCTCCTCCTCCCTCTCCTCCTCCTCCTCCTCCCCCTCCCCCTCCCCCCCCCTCCCCCTCCCCCTCCCCCTCCCCTCCCCTCCTCCCCCCCCTCCCCCCCCCCTCCCCCTCCCCCTCCTCCACTTCCCTCCCCTCCGCCGCCTCCTCCGCCTCCTCCCCCTCCTCCTCCTCCTCCTCTCCTCCTCCTCCTCCTCCCTCCTCCTCCTCCTCCTCCTCCTCCTCCTCCTCCTCCTCCTCCTCCTCCTCCTCCTCCTCCTCCTCCTCCTCCTCCTCCTCCTCCTCCTCTCCTCCTCCTCCCTCCTCCTCCTCCTCCTCCCTCCTCCTCCTCCTCCCCCTCCCCCTCCCCCCCCCCTCCCCCCTCCCCCTCCCCCTCCTCCTCCCCTCCTCCTCCTCCTCCTCCTCCTCCTCCTCGTCCTCCTCCTCCTCCCCCTCCTCCTCCCCCTCCCCCTCCTCCTCCGTCTCCTCCTCCCCCTCCTCCCTCCCTCCTCCTCCTCCTCCTCCTCCTCCTCCTCCTCCCTCCTCCTCCTCCTCCTCCTCCTCCTCCTCCTCCTCCTCCTCCTCTCCTCCTCCTCCTCCTCCTCCTCCTCCCCTTCCCCTCCTCCTTCTCCTGCTCCACCTCCTCCTCCACCTCCTCCTCCTCCTCCTCCTCTTCCTCTTCCTTTTCCTCTTCTCTCCTGTTGCTCCTCCTCCGCCTTATTTTCTCCTCGGGTGGACCACGGTCAAGAAACACGGATGAGCATTGGTGCTGGTGCTACCCCCCTAGTGCGCGGCACCAGCCCCCCAGGAGCAGCCGCTGCACAGTGCCTGGCCAGAGTGCCCAGTCACCGAGCAGCGGCCGCTCGTGGAGGCGAGGAGCTGCGCTGGCTGGGGCCGGCAGAGAGGCGAGGCGCGGTCGGCCGCGGCCGCAGGGCTCTGCGCGCCGCCGCCCACTGGCACGCCCCGGCCCAGCGCCCCGCCCCGTCACCAGCGGCCAGCCGCCAGCGCCCGCCGCGCGCCCGGGCGCCAGGTGCCTCGAAGAACCGGGCGCGCGGCGCCCCAGGGCCGCAGCCCAGCGCAGCGCCGCCCAGGGCCCACCAGCCAGCGGAGCGCGCCTGGCGGCCCGCCCGCCGCAGCGCAGTCTCTCCCTCCGTCCCTCCCTCCTCGCCCTCCGTCTCTCCGTCGACCTCCGCGCGGAGGCGCGCGCCCCCGTCTTCCGTTTTGCTTGCCTCTCTGGTGTAGAGAGGCGTTTGCAGCAGCATCGAGCACGGACAGGCGTCCCGTGCCAGCGTCCCACCACACCTCCCTCCTCGCACCGTGAGGTCGATGCGCATGGCGGGCGTTCAGAAGGGGGGTGAGGGCGTGCGGTTTCGTCGTCGGAAGGGGAGGGGTGGAGGAGGCTCCCATCGCTTCTCGGAGGTTGCCCATTTCACCTCGGGGTGCTCTCCAGCAGCTACGCCTCGTCGAGAGCTTTCCAGGGGTGCCCAGGTCGTTCCGACTGGCTGCTGGCGGCTTGAGTTATGAACCGAAAGCTCACAGGCGTCGAAGAGCAGGGTGAGGACTACGGGCATGTGTGTGTGTGTGGATGTCGTGACTGGGGCCATGAAATCTCAGATCTCGTGGCCCCGCTTCCTTTTCTGCTCCGTCCCCTCCCCCCTTTGTCGTGCGCGCACATGCTTCGCGCCATCATGCGAGCCCCCGTTCTTCCTGGCCTCCTTTTTTCGGTTCGCCTGGCAGAAGTGGCGCCGGGCACTTTGCCCCAACCAGCACCTCCCAGACCGCGCGCGGAGCTGAGGGCCCAGATGGTGTACAGGGGGAGCCTGGCCTCCTTCAGGTGGTAGGCGATTGTGCCATCGTGTGCATCTTCGCTCCGCCTTGCTGTGCGTGGGGGATGAGGTGGTGGCCTGTGTGGTGGCCGCGGTGTTGGTGGTGGGTGGTTGCGCTTTGTGCCACAATGTCAGCCGTCCACAGATGGTGCGAGGAAGGAGGTCAGGGCGGGGGAGGAGGGATGTCCCTGGTTGATGGAAGGAATGCGTGGCGATGCATCACCAGGGGGGGCACGACATGTGGGGAGTGTGGAGCTGCGCCTTGGAGTGAGGGGTGATGTGCTCGTTTGCGGCGGGCAGTGCGCTGCTCCCACTCCTCTTGCTGTTGCTGGCCGGTTGTGAAGGGTGGGTGTGCCCTCAAGGGGCAACATTCGGGGTGGATCGGCTAGGGGGGGTGCATTCACCTCCACTTTCCAATTGACCGCCGAGTAAAATGGTGCCCGACAGCCCCCGCCAAGGAATGTGCGGAGTCGCAATCGGGAACCAATCGCTCATTTATGGGCGACATATAGCCGATCCAGGTCGATGTTATGCCCCCCCCACCTCCACTTGCCAGTCCCCCTAACGTTCTCCCTCACTCCTGGCGCAGTGTCCCCCAGCAAACTTGGATGTTATCGCAAAAAATGCTTCGTTGGATTAGGAGGCAGAGCATCGAGAGAATGTACATCCAGTGCGAATCTGGCCAGTGGTTGGGAATCGTGTCGATTCAAACAGACATTGTGCAGGGGTGGTTGCAAAATCTTGCTTGAATTTGAAAGCGAATTCCGTCGAAATGGTTGAGCTGGACAGCGGATGGAACTACACTTACCATTTTGGTTCCACACTTGATTCGGATTTTGAACTGAATCTGAAGTTGGCAGGATGCGACTGAAAGTGCACCTGTGAGCTTGAAGCCGAAGGCGAATGCAATCGCACCGAGGGTGTTTTTATTCTCAGGACTTGACTTGGTGGCACACGGGCTCGTGCCTCTTGACCCCCTCGCGGTCCTATCGTACCCTGCAAAGCCGAAGCGAATGCCAAAGCCAAGTGCCAAGCCAGACAAGTAATGCCCAGGTAGGTCTTAAGTGTCTGCTGTTTCAATGTGTCGTTTCGAAGCGACTTGTATTATCACTTGTGGGACAGCGAATGCGACAGCGAAAGCAACCATAACATTTTTGAACCTATACGAAAGGCTGAGACTACGGGGAAGTAGTATGTAGGCACAGCTACATCGGAACTGCAGCTTAACTGAGTGCGAAAGCGAACGACGTAGCAGACGCATGATCGAAGGCTACATGTAGAACTAAGGAAGCATCTGGCATCCAGCTAATTCTAGAGCAACTATTACTGTCCAAGCTGGCGCGTCAGCTTCACCACTGCTACTGGTAAGGAGTGTTTCTCAGGCTGATGTCGAGTAGTTGACTATTCGGCTGACCATACAGCGTACGTTGCATTCAAGAGGCTTTCGCCATTCCGCCGACCCCCAGACGAAGTGAGGCCTTGCGGGCGTCGTGGAGCTTCGTCGCAGTTTCCTGGGCGCTTGCCGGCTGTTACCAGGACGCCGTCGCGCGCACGGGACGCCTTCAAGTGTCCGGGCGCGTCGGTGGAGTGGCCGCCGCGCGACCGCTGCTCCGCGCATGGGGTTCACTCATCCTGCGCTTCTCGGGAGGGAGCACCAGAATACGTATGTAGCGCGTCGCGCGTGAAGCGAAATACTTCAGCAGTGACGTCGTGGATGGTCGATTCAGCCTGCTCATCTCGGGATTCGGACAACGCGGGAGAAGGAGGAGCATGATGACATAGATAACGACGACGGTGAGAGGAAGGAGGAACAAAAAGAGGATATCGAGGACAACGGGACGGTTTGTCATGTTGTTTGGGCTCTGTTTGAGGCCTCCCTCGTGCAGCTGGGGGCTGTTCGTGGAGGTACTCGGGATCCTTTGGGGGGTCTCATTGGAGCATTTGTGCATCCTCCTGGAGCTCAATGCCCGCTGGCGGCCCAGGCTGCGGCCTCTTGGAGCTTCGTCGAGTCTCCTGGGGCCCTCTTGGGGGCTTTTTGGGGGCCAGTCGGAGGCAGATAGGGGTTTGGGGGGCCCACCTTCTGAGGGAGTACCCCCCCAGGCCTCTGCGGGCTCCCCCTCCTGGGCCTCTCCCGCGCCTCTCTCGGGGCCTCTTCTGGAGGCCCCTTGGGCCTTCTTGGAGCCCTCCATGCTCGTCTCCGGGCCGTTTTGAGGGTCTCTTGGGCCGGTGTGGGCCGGTCTGGGGGTTTCTTTCTAGGCCTCCTAGATGGGGTCCGAGTAGATGGGGTCGGAGGACCGCGCCGCATCGACGATGCATCGGCGATGCGGCTCGATGTGGAGCCCGATTTTCTCCACGCCGACGTCGCCGGTGCAATGCATCGCCGATGCATCGGCGACACGGCGCGATCCTCCGACCACATCTACTCCGACCCCATCCAGGAGGCCTCTACTCTTGGGCCGTCTTAAGCGTGCAAACGCCAGAGAACCGAGCACACGACACGCATGGGGAATCCATGTTTTTGGCCTCTTGAGGCACTCTGGGGAGGCCGTCTTGGGGCTTTGTTTCAGCGTTTTCGGCCCTCTTGAGATTGAAGCCTCTACGGCGTATTGGGGCCCTTCGGGGGGCCCATCTCAGAAAGCATCTCAGGACCTCGGCGACCGCGGAGGGTGGATTTGCAGGCCCCGGAGGCCCCATGGGGTGCGTGGGGCAGCCCGGAGGCCCCCGCTCCCCCCGCTCCCCCGTCAGACGTGACTTTGGACCCAGGGGGGCCAGGGGAAGGGGGGCAGGGTGACCGCCAAGTGTCTCACACGCCTTCTCACCCCTGGCAAGCGGGGGTCGGCGGATCTCGTTTCGGCCGCTGGAGCGCGGTCAAGTCTGAGGTGACGCTGCAATGAGAGCTAGATCTAAGTTTAAACATGATGTGGACGCAGATGCGTCGTCCAAATATCCACATGCGACCAAGCATAAACAATTTAAACCAGCTAGCAAGACGTTCCTGGAAGGCGGATACCCAAGCAGCACAGCTAAGCGACAACATCAAACCTAAGGGCAGAACGATCGCCACGGCCAGTGCCAGACGAAAGCGAAAGATAACGCTGCAGCTAGAGTAATGGTCCTGTCAGCGCAGTCAAAGCTGACGTGAAAAACGAGCAACGGCCATAGTGATGTCGGACACCAATTGCTGGGCATCCTCTGAAGCATATCAGCTGCCCGCGAGAACCTTCTCAAGCCTCGATCTCCTCATCGGCCGCAGGCTGGTTGCACATCAATGTAACTACAGTCATGTGTATGTCTATGTGCGTGTGTATAGGAGGCTCTGCTGCGTTGCTTGATGGGCAGTTTGCAGGGCGGGGCAGGAGGCTGGAGTCATGACCGGACAGCAGATCGATTTCAGACGGCATCTGACAGTTTAGCATCTGTTATTTGTTTCGCACACAGTTGCGGTATGCAGTCATGTTCGCATCATTTGTGGACGGTAAGCGGGAGGTTGTCGCCGACGACGGCACTGGTGCTTCTGGCGCGGTGACATCTGGATGCGCTGCAGAGGACGGACGTTCTGACTGCTGGTCCGTGTAGTCTGCTGTGAGGCCTTTGGAAGCTTAATGATAGTCATAAGCATTGGGACCTAGGCTGGAGAGTGCAGGACTGGCCAGAGCCTTCCGCTGCTGGGGACATATGGGGCGCGGGTGCTTTCGTCAGGTGGACTCGAAGCACAGCTGATTGCGTTCCGTGTCGCGCACCATTGCCAGACTACAAGCCTCTGCGCCGGAAGTGGGCCACCCAGGGCTGGCCGTTATCAGTAACCTCTCTCGTGGCTGTGCCCCAGACTTCCAGGGGGGTCCAATCGACCTCCCAGCTAGCCAGCAGCCAGGACACCGCAGGGATTCACGTGAATCTCGCGCGGGTGCTACTTCTTAGTGGCCTCCTGGTCAAGCCGATACGGAGCAGATGATGTTCTTGCACACGAATGCGTTTTTGTGGTGCACGGCTCCCCTTGCCGCACGGGTTGTTTGCTTGCCCTCCGATGTTCACGTGCATGTCCGTCCGCACGCTGGTCTTCGGTCCGTCTGCGAGCTCACGCTTCCATTTCCGTCCAGTGTGCATTCTTAAGCGCAACTCAAGGACGGCTGGATTTATTCGGGCAACGACTTGCAGATGTTCAGTGGAGTTCCAACGGCCGCTGCTTGCTGCGAGGCCGTGCAGCCGCTTCCTGAGTGACATGTCTTCTCCTACCATATAGAGTTGCACCGTCGCGTTGGTGCACTCTGCTATCGTGATTCGTCCTTCCCTTCAAGTTGCCTGGTCCTCCTTGCAGTCAACATCCTTTTTTGTTTTGTATCCCAAGTTGTTTGTCTGCGTGAATACTTTCAAGTGTAGCCCGTGAGACGCTATTCTTGGTGCAAGGTTCTTCTCCATTTGCCAGTCTGCGGTGTTTTTCGTGATTCCCTCTT